CCCCCCCCCCCCCCCAAATGCTCTGGGGAGTCACGGAGACTGTGGGTCTTGCAAACGAAGACTGCCATGGTCTTTAAAGAATCCCACCTTGCAGGACGGCGCCACGTGAAGCCGGCGCTCAGACCTCCTACCACTGCCACAAAGCCCATTAGCTGCCAGGGTCTTCTCCTAGTAGCAGTTCAGCACGGCGGTGCTGATTAAATGCGTTTCAGTGCAGTGAGGGATGTTACAAATACAAAGAGAAGAGATGATCAAAGTGCCCCCCCCCACACACACACATTTTCCCTCCAACCTTATTTATTCAGCCGCTCCAGCTCAACATAAAGTTTTGACTTTGATGGCTGTCTGAATTGGTAAAAGGCAAAACTTACTTAGGCCAATAAAACATTGTTCTAATCATGCTCAGTGTCAGCATGAAATAGCAGGCTAGGGAAAGGGGAAAAGGGAACAAAAAATGAAAACCAGGAAGAGAAGGCTGGCAGTGCGAACCATAAAGCTGTCCAAGAGCCAGCAGTCATTTCTCCGGGGCCATAAATCAGCGCAACAATAATGGTTTTTTAGCATAAGCGGGGAGGACAGAGGCTGCAGCTGCCATGTGAGAGAGCAGGGAGACTGCTCTTGGGGAAACAGGCACTGCAAGCAGCTCCCAGATGAGAGCAATCGATGTCTTTGCAATGTGGGTCCCCATGGCCCAAAGAAGTAGGATGCTGGGAGTTGATGAAATCGTGGTTCTCTTTTTGTCCGTGTCAGCACGTCACTGGGTGACCTTGGGCAAGTCACTTCACCCTCTAGGCTTCTGTCTCCCCATCCTTAAGAGGGGGGTGGTCAGTAGTAACTCACTGTGCCATGGGGCTCAGAGCTCAGCTACATGGCCAGTGTCCCTGTCAGTAAAGCAAGCCATGCAGACCGGATTTTCAGAGGTGCTAAGGGCATGGGAGCTCTGGGTGCTCGGCCCTTCTTGAGCCCATATGCTGCCTTGCTGCCCAAGCACCAATTCCACGGTTCCCAGCAGTGGAACGGGCAGAAAGCAAAAAAGTGAGCAATGTGTTTGATCCCCAATCCCTGCATGAGACCGACCCTAACTCTGAAAGATGAACCCATGCTGCTCTGGCGAGCCTCGAACTCACTGATCTGAAATGTACCCAAAAGTCTCCGGGGTGGCCCACGGATACAAAGCACAGCTCAAACTCATCTTTACTGGCACTTGTTTCCAGAGGTCCTTGGGCAGTCCCTAGGCTCACAAAGTGTTTTACAGATATGAACTGCTGTAGCTGTGCAAACTGCATTTTGTCCACCATGGCGATGAATCTAGCTCGGGGGTGTGACAAATTG